AGGGTTTTGCATTGCACTGGATGATCCTAGTAACGAAAAAACTATGAATTCACTTAAAAGACCATATCCAATGAACGACTTTGAAACCTCTATACATCTCTACCGCTTGAAGAAATTTTTACAAGTTTACTAGCTCTTCCAGATTTATTTCCCAAATTTCTAACATTTCAGCTACAAAAATGGCAACTATTCCTCACCAGCTTGCTCTTCAATAATTTTATTCAATTGACAATAACATCTATAAACAAGTACAGGAATCCCTGGGCAGTAATTTTTCAAGCTCTGTGTGTGAATTATTCCTGTTTACAAAAGAATTGACCTATGTCCGTTCCACTCAGTACAGAAGAACGTATCTTTTACCAACACATCTATAGATAGATTTATGATGTCATTGCATTTAATAACTACAACAAAATAGGAAATAGCCTAATATCTACCTGCATGCTTAAAACTAAATAAAACAAATACAGAACAGCATAATGTAGTCTACCTTGATTTACATATTATAGATTACAATTTTATTAAAGTTTATGACACAAAGAAAAGAATTTAATTTTTCCACACTTAAATTAACTAACTGGAATTCAAATATTTCCAAAAGAGTCATACTCAACACAATTTATTCACAGCTACTTAGAATAAAAAGAATCTGCAATACTGCAAAACACTACAAGAAGAAATACTATACTTCGTAACTTTTGAAAAGTAACCTAATTCCTCATAAAATAATTAAAAATACCCTAACAAAGCTGGCATTAGCTTTACCTATTTTTAGATTTTTGAATTAGATAATGATATTTTATGCCTAAAGCCCGAAGGACGGTTTAAGATGGATGACTGATTCAGAGAATCTAATGTAAAAATGTACAGATAATTCTTGTTTATTCATTCTCTTCCTCCAAAATTTGGCACTTTTACTTTTAAATACTATTGTGTAAATAGTTTTAAATTTCTATAATGGCCAATTTTACTGCTTTTATTAACAAATCGGGCCTTTTCGTTTTTCATAGTAGCTTGATCGCCCGCTAGCTTGAAGAATTACGACTTTTTTAACAAATGACTGTTTTTTCCTTTTACTCTTACTTTAGTGGCCAAGTTTTTGTAGTTTTAGCTGAATTGCCATTTTCACTTTGAGACAAAATTTTTTCCTTCCAACTACATGTCAGGAGCCATTTTTGAAATCTTTTCACGTTTTTCCGAGTTTTCCGACCCCCTTCAATAATAGGAGACGAGTTGCAGATAACGGACAATCTCTTCGCATTGGCTAATGCCCACAGAACTTCGCTCCCCCCTACATACGTCATACGACTGAAGTACACAGAAGGGAATTACAAGCACTTTTCAACTAGATTTAAGAGGGAGAGATCTGCATCGCCACAGGTCAGTTTTTTGTTTCTTTTGTTACAACTTTTTCTCGGTCTTAGTAAGACCCACTTGGTTTGTTATCATCTTAATTTTCTTTTATTTTAATTACAGATTTTCATTACAGATTTCTAAAATATATAAAATTGTTAATCTTTAAGCTTGCAGGCCCAGCCCGTATGTTTTTTGTATATTTAGGACTAATAGCAGACCGCTATTTATTTTTGTTTTTATTTTTATTTTAATTTTGATTTTGATTTTAGTCTAGATTTAAGATGTTTCGTATAGTTTAACATATTTTAACACCTTAATGTGTCATTTTGTGCGGACGCGTCGGGAAATTGGAACAGAGAATTGAGACTATTAAAATTTTCCAAGACACTTTGTCTAAATTTTAAAAAAATTTTGTAGCGAAAAAGTTTCAATTGTCTGTTTCGGCGAAACACGTAATGGGGTTAGCTTGAGTCGACGTTCAAACAAATTAAATTTCCCTTGAAAAGCCAGTTTGGAAGTCGAGTTGGGCTAATTTACCATTTTCCGCTTACTTTTTTTATCTGATTCTGTTTTTTTAATGTTTTACATGTTTAATGGTTTGATTTTCATATGTATTAATTTTTAATACGTGTTGAACTTTTTGGAGCAACAGCTCCTGGTAACTTTTAGGCGAGCTGACTACAATTTTTATATTTTACTTATTTTGCAGCATATTGCGCAAGATGTTTTCTAGACCAAATTGGTTTTTCAAAATTGTAATTACTACCTTGCTTGATATATATATATACACATATATTTATATACTTTTACTGCGGCTGATTGCAACCAAAATAGGAGATGCACACATGTTATAGCAGTCTCATATGCAAAATTTCTACGTTCTGAGGCTATTTGTTTTTCAGTTGTGTGAGATATGTATGTACGCACGTACAGACACCACAAAAAATTCTCTTCAGAATTCATTTAAAATCAGTTTTATAATTTGTTTGGGGGAAAAAAAGAGTCCTTTATTCTGTCCTTACATACAGATATCACGCACAAACATCGTTAAATTGTATTCGATAGTGGTCAAAATGAATATTTGCGTTGAAATAGGATACCCTAAATTTTTCGAGATTACAATACTTCTTTTTCACTTCATACAAGGAAATAAAAATATTGTCAGGTGCATTAGTGGCAGATCCAGCTCCAGCAATTTTAGCACTCTAAGCAATCAGTACTGTTGACATCCATATAAATTAAACCTATTAATAATTCAAAGCAATTTTGATTGTGAATTTAGAAGTCAGTTCTGAAATAAATTCAATTGGCACACTTCAAAAATCAACACCTTTGGCAACTGCCTTATGTCACCTGTACTTGGATTTATTCCTGGTTAGTAGACACTCTGAAACCAAGGCTTTTTGTCTCTTACAGGAGAATAAAAAAAGAGGGCTAAAGAAAATTACAATGTGTGAAATAAAGAGCTGTCTTGCATATGGGAGATTATAAAACTATCTGAAGAACACAGTAATATAAATAATAAAATAATATTACGAATTTCAAACATTTGTATGAAAATTATTCATCCTTAAACACTGGATATCTGATTTATATCACTTTAATGATAAATATTAAACATACAACTGAATCATTTGATGTGATATATATAATTAAGTACCATTTGTAAACTGATATTATAAGCAATAACATATAAAGTACACCCCCCCCAAAAAAAAATTACAAACCTTTACAATGCTGCAATGCAGATGAAAGTAAAGAAAAGGATTTCAGCAAACCTCAGAAAAGAATTTTATTTCATTATTAAAAACACATAATTTTCACATTATACACTAATATAAAAATTATAATATTATGCATCAAGTATATAAAAAGTTAAATACAGTATTTTAAGGATAAAAAAGAAAAATTTACTTTTTGTCCCACTTCATCTCTGATAACAATGTTTCCAATAGTTTTCAGCAGCTGGCTAAGAGACGACAGAGAAGAGATGGCACTTGATAAATATTCCTGAGAATTCTTGCGTAGCAGAAAATCCACTTCCTGGCAATGCATAAATATTTTTAGCTTATGTACGTAATTTTAAACACCCAGTTTCACAGACAACTGAATATACATCATATGTGTGTATGACAAATTACAATACAATCTCAATAATTAAAATGCATGTAAAAATAGGTACCATTATATAAAAATGGCTATGTGAAGCAGCAAACATATGGAAGTAATAAAACTGTTACAAAAAAGGGGGGCAAAACAATATTATACTTCCACTTTTTACATAAAATTTCCCAGTTCCAATTATTTTGTGCATATGATTTTTGAGGGACATATCTGTCAACTCCCAATTTACTGATATAATACCAGGACAATTAAATATAGAGGAAAGTGGGATAACCAGTATTATGATTAACAGAAAAATACTACAAATTATTTATCTGTGTTTTCAAGAAGTTTCATCCAGAAGAAAAATTCCATCTAGTTACGTAAATTAAATCAGCATTAAAAAATAATAATAAGAAAAACTACAGTACACTCCCGATTATCCGCAGAATTGGGTGGCGCAGCCGCCGCGGATAACAAAAATCGCAGATAATCCGAAAAAAGCTAAAAACGGGTATAGCAAAGGAGGAAACAGGCAAAGATGGAATATCTTTGCAAAATCGTTTTATGTACAATAAAACGTAAAATAAACAGCAAGAAATGTTTAACTAATGCTTAATATTTTAGTATATCACTCAAAGATAACCTAAATGCATATTGTTAATGAAAACAGAAAAGTGCTTTGAACCCAGTCATTTGTGTTTGCTTCTTGCTTTGCAAGCATTTTCTCTTGATCCGAGATTGTATTTTTCGTAGCATAAGTTTCTCGGCCAACTCCGTGTCGTCTTGTTCTTCCGAATAGCTCAGCAGTCCATCGACTTGTTGCAAAGCCGCTTCGTGAGTCTTCCGCATCTTCACAGTGGGCTCTTGTTCACCTTCACTTCGTTGTCCTTCATTCTCGGTCTCTCCCTTTGCTTTTCTTCATAATTTCGTCATCTGTCAAGCGTTCGAAGCCAGGTTCGTTGACGTCACACTCCAACCACTCGTTAATGTTTTCAGCATCGACGTTCTCATCACCCGGAACTGTTTTCACCATATCAGCAAGAGTTGCTGTGGGCGTGTCTACATCTTCATTCTCTTCTTCACAACTCAAAGGGCTTAGGTTGTTGGCTTCAACTTTAGGCATGAGTTTTCTCCATGATTTTATGAGGGTTGACGGTTTTACTGAGTCCCATGCAGATGCAATATCGTAGCTGCTGTCCAAGATTGTGTAGTATTTCCAAAACTCTTTCAGATGATAACCTTCTTCAATTTTGGTCATTAGCACCTTGGTTTGGTATGTTCTCTTCATTGTTGCAATGACACCTTGGTCCATGGGTTGGATTAGCGCAGTAACGTTTGGGGGCAGAAACTTTGCAAAAATTTGTCCATCAGAAGACTTTAGCACGCTTGTTGCTGGGTGAGAAGGTGCGTTGTCGATCAATAGCACAGCTTTTTCAGGCAGGTTTTTCGATTTAAGATGTTTATGCACTTGAAGAACAAAGATTTTTTCGGACCATTCTTGAAAAATGTTTCGGTTCATCCAGCCTTTTTTTTTGAGGTGGGGTTAAAGTAATCAACGGGCAATTTCTATCCTTGTGCCTTTGAAAGACCTAGTTTTTTTTTTTTAACTTTCCAATGACAAAGTTTATGTCCACCAGTAGCGTTACTGCAAGACATGATAGTGATCCTTTCCTTGCTGCTTTTATGAGCCGCTTTACTTCCACTTTCAAATGCTAAAGTGCGAGTGGGAAGACATTTCCTCAAAAGTCCCGATTTGTCGGCATTGTAAATTTGTTCAAAAGATAGCTCTTCTTTTAAAACAAATTCTTCAAATTCATGGCAGAAATCGTTGGCTGCTTGTTGGTCACCACTAAGTTCCTCCCCATGAAGTCTAATTTCTCGAATTCCATGTTGCTGCTTAAAACGAGTCAACCAGCCAGAAGACGCATCGAAATTTCCTTTCAAGCCTAACAACTCAAAAAAGGATTTTGCCTTCGCCGCAATGATAGGACCATTTACAGGAATACCCTCTTTTCGAACTTGAGCTAACCACTCTGTCAATGCCGTGTCTAGCTCATCAAAGTTTCATAGTTTTTCGCGTTTTCATTGCGGAAGCACTGTCCGACATTGATACAAATTTTCACCAATTTGTCTTTTTGCTTTAGAATGTCACGCATTGTTGTTTCCGCGATTCCGTAATCCAATTCCATCTGCTGCCTTGTAGCGCCGTTTGCTACTCTGGAAATTAATTCTCGTTTTTGCGCAATCGTCAACACAACCTTCTTCATTTTCCTGACATTTTAAATCGATAACAAAAAACACAAAACCAAAAAGCACAAGCACTGAACACAATAAAAGATAAGAAATTAACTCTGACCAGTTCGCAAACACTATCAGGCTTAAACTAACAATGGCGAGTGGGAGGAAGTGGAATTTTATAAAAGTAAGCTTAAACTTTCGATTATATCAAATAGAATTTCCGATATATATTTGTTAATATAATATGTAAAGGATCTAAAGCGAAAGTATGTTTTGAAATCCGAAATGTGTTTATCAATTTCCCGCTGCTCGGCGGGGGCGTAAGGAATTGGAAGTTGATCTGTCAGCACTATTATGTTTATCTACTATTATGCACTTATCTTCAGCGCAGATGTTTTTATTTTATTTGGCTTATAATTCCTTACCAAATGTAGTATTTCATCTCGATATGCTCCGTCTTTGATATGATTTAAAACAAGTTCCTCGTCATTATAATTCGCTTCCGATAGCGAAGAAAGTGACAGAGGTTATTGAAAACGAAAAAATTTCGATTGGCAAATTAGTCGGTGTTCTCGACACAGCAATTATAGGACTTGAACAGCGGAACTTTGTAACTGAACAAGAAATTATGTCTGTTTAATAGAATTAAAGAGAAAGTATTATCACATGAAATGAAGCAAAACTTAAACAACTTACATTGAAAGAAATGTTTAATAAAGTAACAAATAAATATTAAGCTTTTTCTTTTGCAGATTTTGATACCCTTTAGATCATAATTGTTCTTTATTTCATAAATTACGGTTTCATATTTTTAATTTAGAATTTCTGCATGCCATCTTACAGATTTAAACTGATGATCTATAATCCGGAAAAATCGATAATCCGGAATCGCCGAAGTCCCGATGAGTCCGGATTAACGACTTTTGACTGTATACACTTATCTATTAATAATAAAAGCTAATACAATGTTAAAAGCTGCAGGAAAACAATATGTATTTGTATTGGAAATTGGTCCAGAGGTTTTCAGTTACTATTTTTAAGAGATTTTATATTTATTCACTTTTTGGCTGAAATTCTCTTCATAAAATGGTATAGTAAGCAGCTAAAGAAGCAGTTAAAAATGTGCAAAACAAGTTTTGAATGAAATAATAAGTTTCTTCTGTAGTATTTTAAATAGAATTGGTTTTTAACACGGTGAACAACTTTGGTTAACTGATTGTAAAGTTGTCAATTTTCTTCCATGGTTTTGTTATAATAAAAAAGTACCTAAAAATCTGTCCCAAAAAACTGACTGGAATCTCAAAATACTTGAACAGTAATTTCACAGTAATTTAATATGCATAATAATATCTACGTAAACAAAGTTATTAAAAATCAGTTTCATTATACTATATCTGTTATAACTTATCTCACTTCTCTGAGAGCAATATCAGAACATATATTTTATCAAGCTGCCAGGCCTACGAGTGCATCTGTTATTCATATATGGCTTATGGGCACCTTGTAAATGACAGTATAATTTTGCCATAACCATTTTGAAGAAGAATCCCCTGAGGGTTTAGTCCAAAGTCTTGCACTCCTAATTTCCCTACTACCAAACAACTCAAGAGGACTTTCAATTAAACATGTATTTTAAGTGCCCTCATAAAACTCTACACATAAACATCCATTCAAACTCATGTACAATGAATGATATGCCAGCCAGTCATGCTTATCACTATACCAATCAGGGTGGCATTGCTAGATCTTAACTTCTGCACGTTTCAATACTTGCAGAAATGAGATACATACCCATTTATGAATACTTGAACTTGGCATGACTTGACAATTTTCATCACTGAGAGAATCCTATACAGAAAGAAATTTTTCAATTAAACTGGTGTAAAAATGAGTTAAATATCAATGAGTATGACATAGATGAAGAAAAGGATCATTAGCTAGTACATAAAAATGTAGATGTGCTCATGGATGATTGACGAAGTTCTTCCTTTTTGGAATAATAACATCATTAATGTAAACACATACTATTAAACTAAACTGGGACAAGACATACATATGTTAGTCAATGCATACAAACATTCTAGTCACATATTCACAGGAGAAAAAGAAAGATGACAAGCTATATATTAGAAGGACAGACACTATATATTATATATATATTATCGATATTAAGATTAAAAATGTTCATTCACTCTATTTCTTAATAAAAGAACACAATATTGCTTTATTACTATCGACAAATAAAAATTTTGGTTTGTTATCTAAGCATAAAAGACTACTGTTCTAATTACTCAATATAGTATTATATGACAGAGGTTAATGCTAAAATGATACATTTTAATGTATCATATATTATCAGCATTCGATTATTTTGAATAGAAATGAGAAATAAGCAAATTAAAAAGAAGAAGAAGAAGACTTTAGGATCTATTACAAATTAGAATTTTATCCAAATATAAGTGATAAAAATCTTTAAAATAAATTTTATAAGTCATGAAAAGTAAAAGAATATAAAGATGCTTAATTACTTTAACAAATAACAAAATTCAATAATGTAAAAATATTGACAATTAATATTACATCTACAAAGAAAGCATGATCTCATTTCAACTGATAAAGAATATTTATATTTTTCTTTTGAATATGCTTACTTCTTTTAATTGAAATTAATATGCTATTATAAGGTTAAATTTTGTTGTTTGTTAAAATTTTAAGTGCATTTATTGGTTCATCCAGAAAATTTTGCAGTTTTTTAAATCAAAGTATATTTAGATCCCCCCCACTTTTTTTTTTTTTTTTTTTTTGGCTTGCTGCTAATAAGTGACCTTTATTCAACCCCATATGGAAAATGGGTATTCCTGCTCATGCATGTGTTATTTTTGCATGTATTGTATTGTTATAGATTGAATGTAATGAATTGTAATTGACTGAATGCACACAGAATTGATGATGGCTTAATAAAATTTATTTTACAAAAAGGAACACGTCACAGTTCTTGAACTTTCCACAAAGATACTCATACAATGCTTTTCAGTATCACAGAGTAATTACTCTTATCAGTATCACAGAGCACAATTAGTAATTACTATTAAGAATGTTAAAACACAATGCAATGCAAAGCGCACCTAAAGAGCAAAAGTGACACGGAAATATCTGAATACTCCGAACTCACACTGAACTAACAACAACTGAGAAACTGGCTCTCTCCATGGCAAACTGTAATACCTTCCACTTCTTGAAACTACTGGAAAGCATATGAGAGCTGGATATGGTTATGATTACTTATAGGATGAATTACAGTTATTCAATTACAATACCCATTACAGTTATACAAGGATGGGACCAAAATGTAGCCCAAGTTTGGCACCTTTTGGTGATTTCTTGCCATTTAGTTGGGACAACATTTAGTCCTCACGACAGCTAGACATGCGGCACACAGTTCAGAATTCTCTTACTTCACCGATCTGAGACTTGATTACAGCAGTAGTTACCTTCGGATGCAAGAAAAATGTCCTTCTTTAGGACACCTTGAGACTTAACTGACAATGATGAGCTAAGCGAGAGGGATTCTGAGCATTCTTTTCAATTTAATAAGACTTCTGTTACACAAAGAGGACTTTCTGAGATCTCCCCAAAATAGGAAAAACAAACAGAAGAAGATGAAAATGATGTCAGAGACAAGATATACTAATGACAAACAAGCTACAATGGAATAAAATGAAAGTGAAAAACTTTAGAGATGACCCAAAAATATGGAGCTGAAGAATTTCTAAAGAGATTCACACAATCTAATGGCAAAGAACCCATTCTTGTGGAGCAAACCTTGAATAAAAGCAGAACCGAGGAAACAAACCAGAAGGATGAGAAAGAAGGCAAGTAGATGTCCACAAGAAAAATGGCAAAAATTCTAGAAAAAGAAGTTCGAATGGAAATCACTAAAGAAAACAGATACGAAGGGCTGAACTGTGCAGAAAATCCAGACGAAGGAGGAGCAACAGAAGAAGAAAAGCCCCCTCCAATTGTATTACAGCAGAAGACGACAGATTGGATGAAACTGCTTATACAACGGATTGGATGAAACTATTTGATGAACTGCTTATACAAGCCAGTGAAAATACGTTTGAAGCCAAAATGAAAGCTACTTCCATTTATGTGAACATTAAACACATTGCTGACAAAAATTCTTCAAGATAGAAGTATTCCTTTCCATTCGTTCCAGCTGCTGAGTGAAAAACCGCTAAGGGTGTATTGAAGAATTTACCGGACACAGTCACTGAAGAGGCTATCCAATACGGCTTAGAAAAAAGAAAATTTCTTGTGACAAAGGTGAAACAGTTCCGAAGAAGTCACAAGAACAATTTTGAGAAGTTCCCAATACTCCTTGTCGAACTGAAGCAGCGGGATTCACGATCCACCAGCTAAACAATATGTTCAGTGTGAACATTAAGGTTAAAAAATTTGTGCTAAAAAACAGACCATTGCAATGTTACCGGTGCCAGGGATATGGGCATTCCCAGCATCTCTGCTCCAACCCTGAACATTGTTTCAAATGTGGGCAACACCACAGAAGCAAGTTATGCCCGTTAAAACATGAAGAAAAACCCACTTATATTAAACTTATATTTTTATAAGAAAGCACACATAAGCTTGTACCATGAATGCTCGGCATATAAGAAAAGATTTGAGAGAAAGATGATCCCTCCAAAACTGAAGACACCAGTTCCCACCTTAGCAGACTTTCCCCAGCTGATCTAAACAGATGAAAAAGTAGAAAAGAGTGAATCGAAGCTATCATACAGAGCTCAAGTTAAGATGAGAATACAGCCCTCCCCCCCCCAAGATGAGATGTCTGAAGCAGTTTCCTGGCTGCAGGATAAGAAAATCAAAAATTTCCTAAGCACAATTATCGCAAGTATCAAGAAGATCAGAGCAGCAAGGAACGCTGCCAAGAAGTTTGTAGCAGGGTTCTAAGCTGCATTAACATTGATGAAGTTTCCAGAAAATGAAGATTAGACTTTGCACTCTCAAGATATATCAGGTACTTCATTTTGAACTTCAAGCGGTTTCTCTCTGAGTCAAGACTTGGGAGGGTGATCTCATATGTGATTGGCTCGGACGAATCAACACTCTCCATTTTAGCGAAGTGATTTTCACAGTTCGTACGGCAGCCAATGAAGAGAAAGCCATGACCAGATGCTCTTTCAAGATTTTCACATGTATGCAAGTACATGTTTAAGTTTCAGCTTTAATGGCACTGCGCTTTGCCTTAGTTACAAAAATCTACCAACGCCTTAGAGCACATTTTCAAATCAGGCAGTAAAAGCAGTAGATCTGCTAAATGCTGCCAAATACCAATACAAATTAACTGAACTTAAGTCGCCAAAACACATATAATTTCATTAAAATTATTTACTATGCACAAAATTCATTACAGTATCATTATTTTTGTTTCAATGCAATGATAAAATGCTTTTTTACTTCACAGAAAATTAGGGCTATACAGCTCATAAAATTTATGCAGTATATAATTAAAATGCTATTTCTGATGACACAGAAGATACTCTGAGAAGTTTAAGCACACAAATTTCAGCTCCAAAATTGATGTTCATTCTGGACATTATTCCTTTGTATGACAGAACTTGCTAAAGAAACTATCTCTGAAAATTTCCATTACATAAAATCTGGATCTAAATATTCCAAAAAACACAATACATGATTGTTCAAAGAGGACAGGGTACATAAAGCTGGTATGATGCGTGGATACTCAATACTTTGACAAAAACAACTGTGCTTGCTTTGATTTCGGCTTGTGATTCGTTTTTGAAATGATATAAAGAAGCTTGTTTTTTTAACTTCCTATCATTCCAGCTGAGAAGTAACTTCAAAATTCCCTGAATGGTTCTGAAGTTCATTTCTATAAAGGCTGTCAAACAACATTTTGATAACATTTTTTTTACAAATAAATTTAAAGACCTATAATTTTAAGAAATGTTACTTGCACTTTGTGTACTTTATATAGTGCCATGAGAGGTAAAAACTTTGCAGTAGATAATTAACATTTCCATATGAGTTAGTACTTATAATTTAATCCCACTTACCATTTCTAGTAAACCTAACAACAACCGAAATTGACTAAGAAAAACTTCCATCACTGCATGCACATCAAGATTTACAGTATGTGGTAAAGATGAATTTTCTGGCATAGGACAATTGAACATCAGAAAACCACCCCATTGAGGCAACAGAAAGGCATTTGAAGAGACAGGCTGCCCTAAAAAATATTGTGATATATTCATAAATTAGGAAGGCACAATAATATTTACTTATTGTTCGAATAATAATATAGTAGAATTCTGATAATCACATACAACTCAATTCTTGAATTCCTGTATGTTCGTGTTTGATTTTGAAAGTAAACAAACAAAGTTTCTATTTTCAGATAATTTAGCATGACAACTTTCTTTTGTGTATATATACATATATGAAAATAAATATTTTAGAGAGTAATTAAAATATGAAATATTAGAAAAAAATTTTACTGAAAAAGCAAATTTATTTAATTATTGAAATTATTTAGCATTTTCTGGTCCACACCCGCTTTTTTTTTAATAACAAATGAAAACGACTCGTCGTGCCCATGTCTCATATGGGCAACCAAAATGAATAAATTTTGTCATTCCCGTATCTCACATAGGCTCTGCTTTTGCAATAAAAAGGTCAAGGAATAACAATTTTTATCACGCCCATATCAATTCTATTTACACAGATGGTAGCACAATACTTGTAAGTTGATTAGATAACAGTAGTATGTAGATTCAGAATATTTTTTCCGTTAGAACATATTTTGAAAGGATGCAGTTTCAGTGCTCGTCGCTTTTCCATGTTTAACGTTTGTAAAATGAGTAGTTCAAGTGAATAAGATGACTTAAGTCTTGAAGAATCGTGAAGTGATTCAGAAGGCAGCTTTTTTTCAGATGCTTTTGATTCTGAAATATCGGATTCTGAAGATAGTGACGATCCCACACAACTTTTACTAGGTCACCAATGGAACCAAATTATGTCGGATGTCCCAGATATTTGTCCTCCACGTTTTGAGTTCAAATATTTACCTGAAGTTAATATTTCATTCCAAGCCAGTGCACACATTTTACAATATTATGAACATTTTATAAATGATTAAATAGTGAATGTGATTGTAAAAGAGACTAATTGTTATGCATCTGAAATGAATGCATGCTGAGCAATCAGGTAATGTTGTTGGGAAAAGGAAACTGAAAGGTAGAAGAGAATGGAAACCCGTATCGGCACATGAAATTCATTTGTTCCTTTCACTTTCAGTTTTACAAGGTATTGTAAAAAAACCTGACAAAAGCATGTATTGGACTAAGAAAATATCAGAAGAAACTCCTTTTTTCCATAAGATAATGTCATATAATCGATACTGTGAAATAAAAAAATACTTGCATTTTGTGAACAATGATTCTTATGATCCATAAAATCATCCTAACCCAAAACTCTACAAAATTTAGCCTGTCTGTGAGCATCTGAATAAAGTATATCAAAAAACAATTACTCCAGAAAGAGACATTACCTTAGATGAAACGCTGATGTTGTACAAAGGATGTTTATCCTGGCACCAATACATACTCTTGAAAAAAGCAAAATTTGGTATCAAAATATATATGCTAAGAGAATCTAGTTTTCGTTACATATGGTCATTTATCATATATACCGGGAAAGGTACTTTGTTTCATCCTAAATTCTGGTCTTTCTTGGTACCTTCACAAGTTGTTATGATTCTGATGATGCTATTATTGAAACAAGGTTAATGCATCACCTTAGATAATTATTATACTTCACCAGAGTTATGTGATATCCTTTTGACTTATCAAACAGATGTGGTTGAAACTATTAGACAAAACAAAAAAGATTTACCTTTAGCATTGAATAATAAAAATTTAAAACTGACGAAGTTATATCATTTAGACGGGGCAAAATCCTCACTCTCAAATGGAAAAACCTGAAGGAAGTAACAATGTAATCATCTTTTCATGATTCTGAAACTGTCGAAGTAATGAAAACTGAAAAGGTAAAACCAAAGTTAAAAACTGAAAACAAAACCAAAGGTAGTAATTGACTACAACAAAACAATGGGAGGTGTGGATCTTGTAGATCAGTATCTTTCTAGTTATCAAGTAGCAAGAAACGGTGATAAAAAATATTATAAAAAATATTCTTTCACCTTTTAGACCAAGCCATTTTCAACGCTTTTCAAGTTTATAAAAAAGTAGGCGTAAAAAAATCACCATCTAAAGTTTAGACTGGATTTAATCGATGAAATAATTGACAAATACCATACTTTTATCAGTTTTTGAAGACGAGGTTGACCTTCGAGTGAAACGCCATCAAATCGTTTATTTGAACAACATTTTATTAAAACTGTACCACTTACAGAAAAAAAAACCTTCCAGATAATGTAAAGTGTGTTCATCAAAGAAGAATTCAAAGAAAACGAATTAGGAGAGAAACGAGGTATTATTTATTGTAAAGACTGCGATATAGGACTGTGCATATCAAGTTTCAAACTTTACCATACCCTGAAAAATTATTAATTTTTTGAAAAAAATATTACAGCTATTATTGATGCTGAATAAAAGCCTTACCATTTGCAGATAATAATGTGCGTTATTTAAACGTACGTGATTTTTCTCTCTCCAAAATTTACATGTAATCTTAAAGGCCTGTATTGAAGCTTTTCTGCCTAGCTTGAGTGTAAGAGGAAAGCCAAATATAAAATAAAACAAGGTAAGTTAATAAAAAAATTTATATACTTAAAAAAACTGTTAAATTTAATGAAAAATATAGTGTTTTTATATGAATTTATTTTAAATTTCATAAGCATTAAAAAACATTAATAAAAAATTGATGATTTTTTAATAAATTTTGCGATGAGTAAGGGGTTAAGAAAAGTAATTAAAGTAATTTCATTGGTGGATATACAATTTTTCTATGTTACTTAAATGCTTTTACAAAAAGAAAACCTAAAACAAATACAAAAAGAAAAAGAAAAAAAAAAGAGTTCCCTGTTTCATTAAAAAAAATTCTCTCTGCAGTACGCATTTCCTTTACACTGCCATAATTTTCTTTGTGTATAATAGTTTTTTGTTCAATAAATCTTGTTAAATAATACTTAAGGTGTGAGATAATTCTTAATATGTGAGTGTGTTTAGTTGCATTAAATCTGGATTTTAGGTAAGTAATCTAGACTTAATACAAAAATTGGAAAGGTAAAGATGTAAACAAACCTCAGAAAGATATGACCTATCTCTGCAAAATTCAGTAATCCACACAAACTTTGATCCTGAGATATGCAGATTATAAGAATTCTACTCAACAATAATAGCTTTTATTGTTAGAAAAATTTGTCAGTTTTTGTATTTTGCATAGTGATACTTTTCACCAAAAGTTGCTTTTAATTTACATGCACTTGCACGTTTTTTGCAGTGCACGATGAAGCTCTCTTTCCTAAAAAGATTCTCCCCCCCCTCGTGCCCATATAACATTAATATTTTCTGATTTAAAAATATAGCAGAATGTTCGTTTCTTTTTTAATTTTTTCAATGCTTGAATTCTTTTAACTAAATCAATTAAAAGCAACCAAACTCTGAATTTCCTGACATCACTTATCTTTGCTGTATAACGTTTTTTTTTTTTTTCCTTTTGTATCAGGATTTAAAAACCATTATATGTAAGATTAGAACCATAATACATAAGATTATATGTAAGATTAGAAAACATATGAATGCAGCTAAGAAATGAGGGCATACCTTTAGAATCATAAATCCGCAAAGGTGTCTGTTCTTTAGTTGGAATATACACAACAAAGTTGAGATTGGGATCCACTGAAATATCTGAACCTGCAGTCAAAAGGAAAATGTTCTTACTAGAAATGTGATATTTAATCAATGAAGGTCAATAACTAAATAACAATTTTTACATGAAGAATTAATAACACACAAAGTGCTTGATATATATATTTTTCTAACCATTACTCTCATTAGTAATTCATATTTTTAACTCATACACATAATTCAATTGATATAAACATTACAAGTGGATTCAAATCAATATGCAGTTAATTGACAGCATCTGAACAAACATATACACTGAAGTGACAAAAGTCATGGGATACCTATTAATATTTTGTTGGTCCTCCCTTTGCCCGGCGAAGTGCAGCAACTCAACATGGCATGGACACAACAAGTCATTGGAAGTCCCCTGCAGGAATATTGAGCCATGCTGCCTCTATAGACGTCCATAATTGTGAAAGTGTTGACAGTGCAGGGTTTTGGGCACGAACTGACCTCTAGATGATGTCCCATAAATGTTCGATGGGATTCATGTCAGGCGATCTATGTGGCCAGATCATTCGCTGGAATTATCCAGAATGTTCTTCTAACCAATCGCGAACAATTGTGGCCCGGTGACATGGCACATTGTCATCCATAAAAATCCCATCGTTGTTTGAGTACGTGAAGTCCATGAATGGCTGTAAGTGATCTCCAAATAGCTGAAGGTATCCATTTCCAGTCAATGATCGGTTCAGTTGCACCCGAGGACCAAGTCCATGCCATCTAAAAAACAGCCCAGACCATTATGGAACCACCACCAGCTTGAACAGTGCCTTGTTGACAACTTGGGTCCATGGCTTCGTGGTGTCTGCACCACATTCGAACCCTCCAATCGGCTCTTACCAACTGAAATCGTGACTCATCTGACCAAGCCACGGTTTTCCATTCATTTAGGGACCATCTGATATGCTCACGAGCCCACGAGAGTTGCTGAAGGCGATGTCGTGCTGTCAGTAAAGGCACTCGAGTCAGTCTTCTGCTGGCATAGCCCAAGGAAGACAAATTTCGCCACACTGTCCTATCGGACACGTCCCTCATACGTCCCACATTGATTTCTGCGGTTATTTGACACAGTGTTGCTTGTCTGTGAACACTGACAACTCTACACAGACGTCGCTGATCTCGGTCGTTAAGTGCAGGTGGTCGGCCACTGCGCTGTCCATGGTGGGATGTTATGCCTAAGATTAGATACTCTCGGCACACACTTGACACTGTGAATCTCAGAATGTTGAATTCCCTAACGATATCCGAAATGGAATGACCCAGGCGTCTAGCTCCAACTACCATTCCGCATTCAAAGTCTGTTAATTCTCGTTGTGCGGCCATAATGATGTCAAAGCCTCTTCACATGAATAACTTGAACACAAATGAAAGCTCTGCCAAAGCACTTCGCATTATACATTTTCTACGTGATACTACTGCCATCTGTATATTTGCATATTGCTGTCCCATGACTTTTGTCACTTCAGTATATTTATAGATGAGCTGTCTTCAAACTATGTGGAATCATAGGATTTCATGAAATTCATATAGGGGTTTTAAAGGTTAAAATCAAAATTCAAAACTTTTTTACTACCATATGAACCATACAATTAAGTGTCTCAAAAAATTAATTAAATACATTTTGTTTTCACAGATATTGTTATCTAAAAAAAGTATGAAAGAAGTGCATTTTTATACTATAGGGAACTTTTTTTTTTTTTAATGTTCCCACATTGATATGTTTTTAATGCTTTCTTAACATTTACTTTTCTAAAAATAGCTTCTACAAATCAATAAATAAATCAAAATAAAAATAAAAAGTACAGTTTCACAGCTCAGTATCTGAGTCTACAAAATAGTTTTAAGCGTTTCTGAGAAAACCTTGACATAGATTTTAAAATATATTAAACAAATTTTTACTCACAACCAGAAACTGGGTGTATTATTTTGGAACCATCAATGAATCAGAAGAATGGTAAGAGCCTATCAATAGTTGAGTGGCTAAGATCACCGAACATTGGTAGTTTGAGCCAGATTAAAATCCAGGGAAACACACTGGTTGCATGGAAGTTTTCATGGTTTTGCCAACATATAATGTGAATATAAGTGTTTCTCTCAGAAGGTCCTCCACAAAGGCATCACACTACTTAAGCAAATAGTCCTCATGTGCTTTGTCATAATCAAAAATAATTCTGTCTAAAATGTAAATAACCTAGCAACTTACTCTCAAAATACAATAATATACAAATTTAGATCACAGCCTAAGCTGGTTATATGAATAAATATTAGACAATGTGTGTTATCACAAGTCAATAACAATTGATTCTAGAAAACTGCTCATTTTAATTACATATTTATATGCTTTGATTATTTTACATTTTATATTATTATAAACATAAATTATAAAGGCTATTTGTTATTTATAATACTGAAAGAAATTACCAAATCATATTGAGCTATTAAGAATAATCATACCTGTTTGCAAATCAATGGTAAAAATAACTGACATAGGCAAAAGAAAAAGTTGTCTAAATTCCCAGCCATTAACAAGGACTGAGCAAATGCAGGCCATGCTAGCCTCTCTCTAGGTGAATATCATCAGTCAAATTTATGAGCTGGGATTAAACTACGAATTGTCACTAGCCAGAACAGATCTTGAAAGCAGTTCAACCATTGAATTCCAAGGGTGTGAGCGAGGGTGTGGGTGAGGGTCCATCGCGAGACCAAGGGTGTGAAGGATTAGAGAATTCTGATGATAAAAAATTGTGCATCTCTTGAGTATTTTTATGCTTTACCCTTCATAATTTTTGCATTCAATTTGGATTATTTGCACATAAATAACTAACCAAAATAACATTCACACTTTAAGAATTATTTAATCAATACTGAATACAAAGCTCATATATTTTTAAATACAAATATATGCAAAAAGAAATCATTTCAGTACAAGAAAAAAATGTAATATAAAGATAGAGGATAAATGATTTGGAAATATTTTGAGGAAAAAAGGAATTGTTTTATAAAAATAAATCAAAGTGAAGAACTTTAGCAGTATTAAGACACAATAACACGCCGAATAAATACTAATTCAGAAGTCAAACAACAAAAATCAGCCTTATATTTACAAAATTTTCACAGGACTAGTTTCGATGGTTTTACCGAACCATCGAAACTAGTCCTGTGAAAATTTTTTAAATATAATGCTGATTTTTGTTGTTTGACTTCTGATTTAGCAGTATTACTTGTCCCTAAACTGAGACTTTGCACAACTTCTGATATTGTATGGCAGAATAATGTTCCACATACATGCAATTATACAAGTATTAGTAATACTTACTAGCAATCAATACTATCAAGTCTTAGAATTAAATTCTGCATTTATTAAGGGAAATGTTTTCTGTCCTTTACTCCTCCTTTCTTTTCAGTGTTTTCCATTTTAAATCCCTTAAAAAAAAAAACTCTGCAAATGTTATTTTTAAAAGATTATTTTTGTGTGCCACTGATGCAGACAAGCTAGCTCATTGTGCTGAGCATAATAATCATCTTTGAGGCATTTTTATGTTGAAATTCAGTGTGAAGCAACAGATCCTTTACAAGTTAACCACATAAATACAAAATTAAAAAAAAAAAAAAAGCAGAATATGCATTTAAAAGCAGGGTCTTCTCTAAAACAAAATATTCATAGAGGTTTATAATTTGTGCTTGCTCTCAAGGAAAAAGAAAAAAAAAGATAACTGACACACGTACAAAAAATTTTAATTAATACTGTTCAATCAAATTAGTTTATACCTATAGTATATTTTTCTTAAAAATTTATTTCCATGTTGCTGTTAAATCTATTTTATTGAATTTTCCAAAAATTTAAATGCTGCTTGTTTACATCTAAGATTGAATGCAGATTACAAACCTTTGTAGTTCAACTGGTTACAGATAATCAGAATTTTACTGTTTATTCAAATAAACTAAAGGTAGAAGAATCCCAAATTTTCTCACATCTGAAATGCTTTTGGATCTCTTGAAACTTTTAAACAGGGTTCATAGAAACATTTTAGTTAAAAAAATAAGCACCTATAAGCACTTTTCAAGCACATTTTAAGGAAAAATAGCACTGTCTAATTACATTATACACAATGCATAACCTTAAAGAAAAATTAGACTTGTAATTTAAAATATGAGCAATGCAGTATTTATTAAGAGAATAAAAGCATTACCTCAACATGGAAAACATTACTTTTTTTTTTTAATTAACAAATTAGTTTACAATGAAGAAAAAAAAAACTATGCAGAACTAAACTAGATTACAAAATTTAATGATGATATTTCAGTTGAAAATATAGAAAATAAATAAATAGCCATATTAACTGTATTCGTTTGGCACCTAATAATAAACAATTTATTTTTCCACTCATATTAATATTTAAATAATTTAACTTAAATAAAATTCTGAATATTTTCTAATTTTCATTGCATACCAGTTTTTCCCTTAACAATATCCCAGCAAAGTAATTTAAGTAAAAAGAGGCACATTTTCTGAAATCAGAAGACGGAATTGCTTCATTCAGTCATCCTTTAACAGTAAAAGCTTAACTAACCCGCATACTCGGAAATTCCCTATATTCCGGATAGTAACTGGAAAAAGAGAGTGGGGAGATTGTACCTGTTCTTTAGATTTAAATTTACGCTAAATAATGATTTTGACATTTCAATATGTGCATCACATAAAAATAGACCAACAGAAGTGAAAAATATTCTGCTTAGAAAGCACAGTAAAACTCTTTTAGGTGTTCATAAACAAATATCAGACTGAACATCAAAATTAATTATCTTCGCAAAATACCGCAAAAGTTATTGCGCAATATGTTATTGCGATAGTGCAATACGTTATTGCGCAATACGTGCGGCGTAATTCTTCCACATGTGTATTACGCAATCGGAATCAACAGCTACCGGTATTCGGAGAATAAAGAAGTAAATAAAAGAAAAGAAAGAGACTTACCAACTCTGGGGAGTTTCTGATTCTAATTTTCAACAGACTGCGTTAAATTTCGGGAATAGAATCATCTTCGCTTGGGTTGGGTAGACCGCAAAATTTTAGTCCTATTCAATCCAGATTGGACAGTGACAACAAAGTCCGCTGCTTCAATATTAGATATTGCGGAGAAACTCCCAACCTCTGTACTGTATAATGTACGCAAGAAAATGAATTATTTGGGACTATCAATTACTTTCTTTTTTAAGCCATTCCGAATTTTATTCCTTAGAAAGCTAATGTGTAAAAACATACCCGTTTTTTGAAGTTTATCTATACTTCAGCAGTTACTGCAACTATATATTATACATATTCATAATATGCTCATAATAAAGCATAACTATCATATAAACACGATAGAACTGACCATGCGGAACGAGAATGCAATTATTAAAATCTTGATAGAAATTCAAACGTGTGTAGTATTTGGGTGGGAGGAAAAGAACACCGAATGTACCAGAATTTTCTACTGTTTTCACAATTCTTTGACCAATAGAACGACGTTCACCCGTCTGAACTCTCGTGCGCACCATAGGTTACGTTAATGCAGAGGAAGGGGGGGAAAGCAATTTCCAGGAGTATGATTCACTATCTGACGTTGCGTATAAGGAAGAAAAGTTGTTTATTTAGTTTCGGCTTTGGTACCGGGAAAAAATTCGCGTTCATTAAAAACAAAGGATTAAAAAAAAGCACTAAAAGCAAAAAATAAGCACTAAGAACAAAAAAATAAGGGCTTTAAAGAAAAAGAAGGCACCTATAAGGGCCTTTATATTTTATTTTCAAATATAAGGACTTATAAGCACTTGTAAGGACCGCTACGAACCCTGTTAAATCTTAAATCCTTAAAATAAGATTAAGAAAAGAAAGCAAAAGAAGGAAAATTACTAATTGTAATAGCTTTTAACTGAAGCAAAATCTAATATCTCTATTTTAAAAACTAAAAAGAAGAAAAAGGGAGTGGGAATGATAAGAATAATTTTTTAATATACATATACACATATTTAATACACAAAGGAGGGAAAAAAATGAAATTCAGTAAAAGAAATAATTAAAACTCTTGAATCCTGAAGATTATTTTATCAGTCTAATGTGACAAAATATATTTTGAATAATAGTTCAGAAATTTTTTCAAGAATTTTTTAATCCAAGGAAATGTAGAGGGTTATTTAGAGAGTTAACATAAATAAACATTCAATTCTCTTCAGAAGATTAAGACTAGTATATTCATGGCTACCATGGGGGGTGGGGAATATAATTAATATTAAGTGATCCAGGTCAACTGAAATGCAGTCCAAGACAAATGTAAAAAAGAAAGGAAAGAAAAAAGGGAAATATATATATTTAATCAAAGAGAGAAACCATACCAAGCCTTGCTTCAACTGGGTTTATAAGCGAAGGAAGGTGTTCCAAGTTAAGAACAAATTCCCCCCTTTCATCACTAGACATCTGGGTAGGTATAGGTAAAGAAGTCATGTACAAGATCTAAAAGGGGGAAAAATACACAGTTAAAAAAGTAATACCAGATATGTTATTCAAAAATCTAAGCCATTGTTTGGTGTAAATGAGAAAAAATTGTGAAATACATACTTAAGATTTACTGGCCTTCTTGATGCATTTTTAAAAGATTAATGAGCAATAAAACCATTAAGTAAATATTTTACAGTAATGTTGAGATATTTGTAATCGCATTCTTATTGGTTAAAAAGAATTATAGCTTTCTGTCATGTCCGATGCATTAGCTTTCTGTCAGGTCCGATATATTTTGAAACTTAATCCCATTCTATTTGTTTATATTTTCTTTATGTTATTTTTGATTGATTATTTTATGTGTCTTGTTTATGATTCGCTAAACCATAATCTGCTGTAAAGTTACATATATAACCTTTGTAAACTTTTTCTCTCTCTGTGTGTATCTCTGTAATAAATGTTGTTTTTCGTACCACGGCATTTTAAATGTTCAACAGCAGAGCGTGGTTCATCAAAAGTTAGAATGCGCTGATATTTTTTTTCATTGAACCTTCTATGCCAGTGTCATAATTTATCATTCGCGTGATTTTGATTTGGTTTTTTGTGAATGATGGCTTTTTCAACTGGAAGTGAAAAACAAAGTTTTTGGTGTTGCCAAATTTGATTGCGCTAAGAATTTTACTGTTTGGTGTCAAAGGGTTCAAGCAGTATTTACTACAAAGGAATTGGATACATTTTTAGGAACAGTAGCAAGTGCGGACAGAACTGCAGATGTTTTGAAATCAAAAAAGGCTAATGCCTTAATTCTTGTGCTTTTAAATGATAATATTCTTGCTTCTCTTTAAAGTGAAGACACAGCACATAAAATATGGAAGAAACTGCAATCTACATATAGTGCTGAAGGAGCAGTGAGTCAAATTTTACTCGTAAATGTTTAGCTACCATAAGAAAATCTAAAGATGTGTGAATGAGATAACATAATGAACTTGGTTAGTAATCTACGCGTCTCTGGATCTGAAGTATGAGTGACTCTGATGTTATTATTTGCATTTTAATGTCATTGCCAAAGAAATATGAAAATGTTAAGGCATGACTAGAAAATCAGCCAAGTGATAATTTGAGTTTGGATTTTGTTACAAACAGATTTATTGATTCTGAATCACTTGTTTTCGATTACAAAAATGAAGATAAGTATTCTAAACCAAATATGGACAACTCTGTTTTTATTAGCGCTCATAAAGAACTGTTTTCTACTTATTGTAAACATAAAGGACATTCCGCTAAATTCTGTAGAAAAAGGAACTGCGTCTGTCATAGTTGTGGGAAAACTGGTCATTTCAAAAGTGAATGTTTTGGTAATTCTAAAAGCAGGCAAATTCAATAATAAGTATGAATCACCTGCAATATCTTTTATGGCTGGAAATCTTGTGCATGATCAATTTATTATTGATTCTGGTGCAACTTCTCACATGTCTTTTCACAAAGAACGGTTTACCTCAATTAAGCCTAAGACTGGAACTGTTAAATGTACATCTAAATCAGCGGTTTTAGAAGTGCGGCAAACATAAGAATTAAAAGGACAATTAATTTCTGTCAAAAATATTGAAGCAGCAGGTTTGAGCATAATTTTTAAAAATGAAATAGTTTACATTGAAAACAAAAACAAATGTTTTAGATTTTGATATTTGGAGAAATGAAGACAATATTTTAGTGATTTTTCACCAAATCTACTTACAGCTTTAGCAGTAAAGAATAATGATTTATGGCACAGATTAGAACACTGTTGTGATCAATAATTTAAACTAATGAATCTTCCTGCAAAAGAATCTTTTTGTGAAGAATGCATACATGCCAAACAAAGTGCACTACCTATAGGAAAGGGTCCTCGCATAAAAGAATCCAAACCATTTATAACTATACATACTGATATATGTGGTCCAATAGAACCTCAAACACTCCATGGGGAAAAGTATTTCATGACTATAATTGATGACTACTCACGATTTATGGAAATAAGACTGCTGTTCAAAAGAAAAAAGTTACATTGTTGATGAATTTAAACTATTCTTTAAATTGAATCCAACTGTCACAAAACTGCGCTATGACAATGCCAAAGAATATGTCAATGGAGAACTTTATGAAGTTGCTAAAAGAGCAGGTGTAAAAATACATCCTGCACCTCCCTATACACCTTTTCTAAAAGGTGTTGCTGAAAGAGCAAATAGAATTGTACTGGAAAAAGTTAGAGCAATGATACTGGAGGCAAATTCACCAAAAATTCCTTTGCGTTAAAGCAGTACTTATGGCTGATTATATAAATAATCGACTCCCAAATAGTTTAGTTGACAATCGTGTTCCTTATTTTCTGAAGTATGGTGAAAATCTTGATTTGACAAACATGCGTGTATTTGGCTGTGATGCTTATACTCTTGTGCCACCATCCCAAAGAAAGAAACTAGATAAAAAATCTGTCAGAATGATATTTGTAGATTATTCTACAATGGGATATCGTTTAATGATACCGGAAACAAGACGCATCACTGTTTCCAGAAACCTTAAATTTAATGAAGAAAAGAAGAAAGTAGAAAATCAAAAACGCATTCCCGATAGTTCTGATTTCAGCGAAAATGAAAATAATGGCATTAAAAATGAAGACAAATCAATTTCAAACACTGATAACAGTGAATTGAAATCTACAAGAGAAAAGACACAACCAGTTAAGTATCCTAATCCTGAGACTTATCAAGTGATGTTTGCACAACAAGGCACTCTGACATTTGAAGATATTGTAAATCTACCAAAATGGAAACAAGAAGTACGGAAAAGAGCTATGGACGAGAAAATGAAATCTATGGAAGATAACGACGTCTGAGATCTACAGAATTTACTCCTTGATAAAAGAGCCGTTTCCTGTAAATGGGTTCTATGCAAAAAACGAGATGAAACTTATAAACCCAGGCTTGTTGCTTGTGGCTTCATGCAAAAAGGCATAGAATATAAAGACACATTTTCACCAGTAATTAGTATGTGCTCTTTACGTTTAATCCTGGTAATTATCAATAATGAAGGTTTACAAATATTTACTTTAGATGTCAAGACAGTTTTCTTGAATGGTGAGTTTGAAACCATCTTCATGGACCAGCCCAAATGATATGATGATATGAGTGGTAAGAAATGTAAACTTAAAAAGAGTTTATATGGTTTTAAACAGTCTCCTCTACAATGGTATCAGAAATTTCTTAATTTTGTTATTAAATTAGATTTTAAGCAATTGGACTCTGAACCATGTATTTTCATCAGAAATCTAAATTGTAAGAAAGTAATTATGGCTCTTTATGTGGATGACTTATTAATTGCAGGTTTGGATGTAAAAGAAACAAATATTATAATATCATTGTTATCTAAAGAATTTCAAATGTCAAAATCTGAAAGTGTCTCAGAATTTTTAGGCATTAGATTGAAGTTCGAGTCCGGTTGTTTATATTTAGATCAGAAATCATAAATTGAAAAATTACTCGATAAAATGTCCGATTGTAAAACTGCCCAAACTCCCATTGAACCAAAATCTACAGCAGCTGATTTTCAGAAAGGAAATGCATATTATGGCCCATACAAAGAATTAATTGGATCTTCACTTTACTTAGCATATACTACAAAGCCAGATATTTTATTTGCAGTAAATTGCTTAAGCCAACTGCAGTAGTATTCTACTGATGTTGCCTGGTGTGCTCTAAAGAGAATTCTTAGGTACTTGAAAAACACCTTAAATTTAAAATTGATATACAAAAAGGATTTTGATATACAAAAGGTTGATTTGGAAAGGGCAAACTTAAGTTTGTATGAAGATGCAGATTGGGGGAGGGAGATACTCAAGATAGGAAATCAGTTACTGGTTACTTTATAATGTTTTCAAACTGTCCTATTATGTGGTGCTGTAATAAGTAAAAGTGTATTGTACTGTCATCAACAGAAACTGAAAGAATTGCTTTATGCAAAGGTATTCAAGATGTTTTATGGATAAAAAATGTAGTAAATGAAATTTCCAGTGTTAAAAATGTTTATATCCAGTCATGTATTAAAAGTATTGTTAATGAAAACATTTCAGGTAGGTTGAAACATAGATATAAAATTAAAGTTCACTTGTAAGACTGTTAAAGACAATAATATTAAAATTTAATATGTACAATCAAGTTTACAAATTGCAGATATGTTAACAAAGGCTCTGTCCAAAACAAAATTCTAGGAACTATTGTCATTGAGCTGTAATTTTTCTATCTTTTATATAATGTGCGATTAACTCTCTCACTGCATACTTTTTATCAAAATAGGTATTTTTAATACATATTTCAAATCTAAATATAGAGTTAAAATATAAAAAAAAAATTTTGTAAAAGATTTTTTTTTTTTTTTTCTTTTTCAATACAGAATTAGATTATAGAAAAAAGGTTTTCAGAATACTGAAATTGAAGAATAATGATATAAAAGGAAAATTTTGAAAATTAATATTGGTTAAATTAAGATTTATTTTATAAAATACAAAGGTAAAACATATATGCTAATGAAAATATTTGCATAATGTAATATTTTGCATATAAATTTTGCACTACTGTAGAATGTTTTCAATAGAAACTGAATTTTCAGATTTATCACTATCTTCAGAGGAATCCTAGAAATTCTCATCAGTTTTGCTATAACTTTCTTCAATATACTAGAAATCAGAGTCAGAACTACTATCAGTGTTGGAAATATTCTTAGGAATATAGGTTATATCACTTGCAAAATGCTTCCAGCCAGACATCTTTGCACTCTCAAAAGCGCGCGAAAAATGCTACATTACGTATTCTTCTATACTTCGCAGAAATATGGAGAACTAACACCATCTATTAGCCCACATCTAAATAAACAATTAAACATCACAGAAAAGCTGAAAGGAAACCTTGAACGGGGAAAGAGCGGGTTGCACAGTTAAATAGACGGCAAAAATTCATCCCTGCGGAAATCGTGGGTTGCACAAA